GAGCTATGAAGATGACCTGAGCCAAAATCAAGAGTTGGATACATAACTGACTGAGCCCTCCAGGTGCCCCTCCCAGTTTTATAATGGTCTCTGACATATTCCAGAATAGTTTCCATATGATTCCCCCCACTCCCCATCCTCCTTAGAATGTTGCTTTCATTATCTGGATCCTGCTCCAGTCTGGATTAGCTGTTCTCTGTGCTTCCTGTATACCTTTGGAACTATTTCCTGTGTTCTGTGTCTAGAGTTTACTTAGTTAGGTTTCCTGGGTCCCATGTCTGTTTCTCTCATTCTTTACACTCTGATTTTTCTAGGACAGGTTCTTCAATTAGCTTCCTTTGATTTTTTTTTTTTTTTTTTTAATTTTGTTTTAAAGATCTTGAATGTCTGAAAATGTCCTATTCTCCACTTTACGCTTAGTTTCTAGATTGGAACTCAAGGCTAAACATTTTTCTTAGTACTACAGGCAATTGCTTCATTGTCGTAGAGTTTTTAAAATTGTAATTAAGCCAGTAGGGGGTCTTCCCTTCATTTCTCATGTTTTGAAATTTCAAGATGATAAGTTGTGATTAGTGTTGATCTTTTTTTCTTTGATCCTGCTGGGTACTCTAGAGCCCTTTCAATGTGGAGATTTATATCTTTCAATTATAGAAAGGTTCTTAATTTCTTTGGTAATTTTTCTTCTGTCTTTTCACCATGGCTAACATCAGATGATAATTTGCGTAGCTAATTCTTCTAATTTAAAGTTGTATTTTCTACTTCTGGGAGGATTTCTCAATTTATTCTTAATAGTTATATCAAATTTAGTTTTAATGTATCATATTTTTAAAAAGCATATCCCAGTTTGAATGGGACACACAAGTTTTTTTATTATATTTTGATTGCTTTCTTAAGCATTCTGTTTTTTAATCTTTTGATCCCTTTGAGAATAGTAGTTATCTCCTTAAATTTTCTTTAAGTTCCACTTTTTGTTTTTTACTCTGGTCTTTCTTTCATATTAGAGGATTTCCTTGGATGCTTAGTGATCTTATTGTTTGTCTGTTTGAAGGAAGCACTTTAAAAGAGCTGATTAGAGAGGCCCCTCGGTGGCTCCAACTCTTCATTTTAGCTCAGATCATGATTTCAGAATTGTGAGATAGAGCCCCATATTGGGCTCTGTGCTGGGCGTGGAGCCTGTCTAAGATTCTTTCTCTCTCTTTACTTCTGCCATGCCCTTGCTCAAAAAAAAAAAAAAAAAAAAAAAACTGATTAGAAACTCTTGGTGACTAGTGGACTTTGCTGTGGAGAAGGATGTTCATGTGGCAAACTAGCTTTGTAATCTGGAGCAGTCCAAATGTCAGTGTCCAAAAAATCTTAATCTCTGGTGTTTTGTTTGGTGATCGAACAGTAAAATCCCTTAATTTTATGGTAATATTGTAGAAATAGGACCAGGAAAAAGTTTTCAGGTCTCAATATTGAGCATATAGATTTTGTTTTCTTTATTTATTTTTTTTTTTACACTTAACCCCTGTAGAGATCATTGTATGCTTAGGTGAGGTAGATTGCCTGTGAAATCCTTATTCACAAGAATTCTCATTCCTCCTTGGGGCAAGAATGAAGCTGGGGAAGAATTTGGGGTTTTACTGTTTCGGGTACAGATTTTAATAAAGCTCACTTTCAACCCTATGCATCTTTTTTTTTTGGTACGTTTAGGTCTTGGTTCTTTTTAGTTTGCTAAGGCCAAATGCTTTGCGTTTAGTTTCTACCTCTTTCTAAGTGCCTAGGGTATAGTTTTATCTTCTCTGTTTAATTATTGTACCTCTCCTCCTTTAGATTTTTCCAAATACGCATTGAAATCTCCTGCTTTTTGTGGCCCTCTTTCCTGTCCTTTTTTCATGATTAAAACTTTTGGATTCATTTATTGTCTTACAAGAGTTTTGGAAAGAGGAGCAAATAGATGCCTAAGGATAACCTGTCATTTAAGAAAATTTTTTTGTAATGATTTATTTCTGAGAGAGAGACAGACCATGTGAGCAAGGGAGGGTCAGAGAGAGAGAGAGAGAGAATCTGAAACAGGCTCCAGGCTCCTAGCTGGCTGTCAGCACAGAGCCCAACGCGGAGTTCAAACCCACGAACCTCAGGATCATGACCTGAGCTGAAGTCGGACGCTTAACTGACTGAGCCACCCAGGCGCCCCAGCCTGTCATTTTTTTTAAATAGTTATGTATTTTTGAGAGAGAGTCAGAGCTCAGATGGGAGAGTGGCAGAGAGAGGGAGACACAGAATATGAAGCATGCTCCAGAATCATGATCTGAGCCAAAATCAGACCCTTACCCTGCTGAGCCACCCACACGCACCTAGGATAACCAGTCATGTTTTAATGGAAAGTTCAAAACTGACCTTTTTTGATAAGCTTTCTTTGGTCTAATCATGTATCAGTATAACTTTTACTGTGGTTTCTCATTAGCTAGAAATTCTTAGTGGAATAATTTTAATTGATCATGTGTTTTGTGTTTGTGTTTTCATGTCTGTTGTGTATTTCCTACTGCATAATAGACCATACATTTTGATGTTTTTTCCACTCTTGATCTTTTCTGTTACTGCCTCATACCATGTTTTTAAAGTAAATATGATCAACAAAGGAAATTCTTTTGTAGTAACTTAAGGTAAAAAGTTGTGTTTAATCCAAGGTAGGTAAGTTAAATGAGGTTACATGCCAAACGTAAATTAGGTATTTTTACTTTAAATGTTTAAATTTGAATGTTTTGGTAAAGCAAATACTTTAAATACAAGCAGCATGTCAGGTTAGTGGAGTGTGTCTGTTTGTGATTGCTTTAATTTCAATCCATTCCCAGCACAATAAGGGAGTTTTTGACATTGAAGTGGGGGAGAAGTTGAGATTATCATGATTTCTTTTTATTTGCCACTTTCATTTTCCCTTCTTTCTGCTCTCAAGACTTGTGGTTTCTTAGTTATCCAGTGGCCTCATTTCTAAACGAGTATTTAGATTTCTAAATCATTTCCCCAGAAAAAAATTAAAGTTTTTTAATTTATAAAATAATGTGAGGGGTGTCTAGGTGGCTCAGTTAAAAGTCCAACTTTGGATCAGGTCATGTTCTCACAGTTCATGGGTTTGAGCCCCACATCAGTCTTTATACTGACAGCTCAGTCTAGAGCCTGCTTCACATTTTATGTCTCCTTCTCTCTCCACCCTCCCCTGCACGTGTGTGTGCTCTCTCTTTCTCTCTCTCTCTCAAACATTAAAAAAAATGTGTATAAAATAATGTCTTTATAGCAGTACTGCCTGTAATAGCCTAGAACTGGAACCAATTCAGTGTCCATCCACAGTGGATTAGGCACTGTGTGAATATATGTATAAATATATGTATTCACACATAATTTATATATAGTAAAATACTATACGATCCAATTAAAGTGAACTCATTACATGGGGCACCTGGGTGGTTTAGTCGGTTAAGCGTCCGACTTTTGCTTAGGTCATGATCTCGCGGTTCGTGGGTTAGAGCCCCGCCTCGGGCTCTGTGCTGACTGCCACCTCAGAGCCTGGAGCCTCTTTCAGAGTCTGTTTCTCCCTCTCTTTCTGACCCTCCCCTGCTCATGCTGTCTCTCTCACTCCCCCCTAAAAATAAATAAAAAATATTTAAAAAAAAATAAATTGAACTTATTACAACAGCCATATGCAACAACACAAATGAATCACAAATAGTGTTGAGCAAATAAAACCAGACATGGAAGAGTACATGTATGTGTCTATTTATATACACACAGGTGTCCACTTCTGTCCAAAAGTAGAGCATTTCTGTAAAACCGTTTGTAAGCTGAAATTCGTGTAAAGTGAAGAAGCAAATACCATTAGTTTATGTGAGAAAACTATTGAATGTTCCCAGCCCAAAAAATAACCTCTTGTCAGACTTTTCTGTCACCTTGGGCCACATCTTGTTAATGGTTGCACAAAATACATTAAGAGAAGGCACAGAAACTCATAGACACAGTTTAAATTTATGGTAACTTGATGCCAAGATGATGAATGTAGTTTCTGGGAAAGGAGGTTGGTGTTGTCACTTGCTACTCAGTACACACTGCCTCTATAATGGCTTGCTACAAAACAAACACTGAATGCTGTTCTTTCACTTTTTGCCTTTTTTTGTTTCTTTGTTTTTTGTTTTTGAGAGAGACAGTTTGCCTTGTGTGCATGCACACAGAGGAGATGGAGAGAATTCCAACCAGGCTCCATATCCAGTACGGAGCCAAGTGCAGGGTTCAGTCTCAGGACTCTGAGATCATGACCTGAGCCAAAATCAAGAGTCAGATGCTTAAGCAACTGAGCCACCCAGGCACCCCATCACCTTCTCTTTATAAAAGCAAAAAATTCTCTTTGGATTTCTTCCGGTTAGCGAAAACAAGCAAAGTGGCATAACATGGATTTTTAAAAAGTGGGAGATAACCCACATAGGTAAAAGGTCATACATAGCTATTGTGACTGTTGGTGTAGGTTAAGGAATATTTAGTGAAGAAAACTTAGAAATTATTCTCAACTTTTGAAAAACCTTACAAATTTGTGTAGGATTCTATAGAGAGACCATATTGAGTAAGGAAAAGAGCCCAGGCTTTGGCAACAACCTGAGTTCCTCATCCCACTTTTATCAGTTTGCTTCATTTTATGGGCAGTAGAAAGCCTTCAACGGACCTCAGACTCCTGCTATAGAAGAGGAGTTTTGATAGTCTCATAATTCACCATGCCTGATATAGTTAATTTGCTTGGTTCTTGATTATGCCTGGGTGGCTCAATGAGTTAAGCATTTGACTCTTGATTTTGGCTCAGGTCATAATCTCAAGGTCATAAGATCAAGCTCCCTGTCAGGCTCAGGGTGGAGCCTGCTTGGGATTCCTCTCTCCCTCTCCCTTTATCCCTCACCTCACCCAACTCCAAAGAATGAAAGAAAGAACCTAAAGTATGCATGATTTTCCAAAGGCAATTAATCAAAATTTGCATTTCATAGGAAACTTCAAGAATGGAGTCTAAACCTTCAAGGATTCCAAGAAGAATTTCTGTTCAACCATCCAGCTCTTTAAGTGCTAGGATGATGTCTGGAAGCAGAGGAAATAGTTTAAATGATACCTATCATTCAAGAGACTCTTCATTTAGACTGGATTCTGAATATCAGGTAACATCTTAACTTGGAATATATGTATAGTCTCTTTTTCAAAATCCCTGGGGCCATGTGTTTTTTAGATTTTAGAAAAGTGTGATTTTATTTTTTTATTTTTTTTATTTTTTAAATGTTTTTTATTTATTTCTGAGAGAGAGAGGGAGACACAGAATATGAAGCAGGCTCCAGGATCTGAGCTACCTGTCAGCACAGAGCCTGTTGTGGGGCTTGAACCCAGGAATCGTGAGATCATGATCTGAGCCGAAGTCGGACGCTTAACCAATTGAGCCACCCAGGCGCCCCTAGAAAAGTATAATTTTAAGATCTTCAGGTGGATCTGAGGCTTCCTGTAATAAAACCTACTAATATATCTGCAGGAAAATGAATGACTGTTTACACCAAGTATTAAAAACTTCAAACTTTGTGGACTTCAAAATTATCAACAAGGCATTGTGGGCTGGTGCACCTGGATGGCTCAATCATTTGAATATCTGTCTCTTGATTTTGGCTCAGGTCATGGAGTCAAGTCCTGGGTTGGGCCTCGTGCCCAATTTAAGTATAAATTTAACTATTTTGTGTGGGTGACTTGGTCAGAGGACCAAAAACTACATCCTTTCTTTAACAATGAGTTCATCTGACTTTTCTGTGCACGTACACAAAGCAGTGGTGAAATAATTGTTATGTGTTTTTATTTTACAGGATGGCTTGTAAATATTTTGTTTTTATTGGTGGGAAATTTATTAAGTTAACAGACCACCTTTTAAATGACCTTTGGGCTTTTATTTTTATGGTTGGTTTGGAGTTTGCAGATTCATAATCTACATCAGTCTGCATAAGCTGCTCTTATGCAGTTAATTTTCCTTTGGATTGACAGCAGAGTTTTCAAAAGCCTTAGTGATATAGACAATAGTTGTAGTATAAAACAGTATAAATTTCATAAGGCAGGCTTTCTAGGTATAATGCAATTCATATGGCTCATCTTTCAAAGTTAAATTTATTGCATTTTTAGTTGAACAGCTAATGAAATTATAGGTGATGTGCAAAAGTCTTTTGGGGCAACTTGAATAAAAGAATTCTTTAGTGAAATTTTCTGTTTAAGTTATTTATAAATAATGTATATCATGTGATGTACTATATGACAGTCTCATTTTAAAATATTTCTACACAGTAATAAGCATTTTATAAAATATTCAGAGAAAGACAAGTAAAATGTTTCTCTAAAGTGCCTAAATCTGCTATATATTTTCTCATTCCTCACTTTTTATGAACTATTTACTTACTCTCATTTTATTTTGTTTGTTGTTAAAGTTTATTTTTTGAGAGAGCAGGAGTGAGGGAGGGGCAGAGAGAGAATCCCAAGCATGCTCTACAGTGTTAGCATAGAGCCTGATGCAGGGCCCAAACCTAAGAACCCAAGATCAGGAATTGAGTTGAAATCAGTGCTTCAGCAACTGAGCCACCCAGGCAACCCCCCCTCCCCCCGCATTTTATCTTTTAATGTTTTGTTTATTTTGGGAGAGAGAGAGCATCATCCATAAGCCCTGGAGGGAGAGAGAGAATCCCAAGCAGGTTCCACATTGTCATTGTAGAGCCCCATGCAGGGCTTGATTTCAGAAACTATAAGATCGTGACTGAGGGGCACCTGAGTGGCTCAGTCGATTAAGCATCTGAATTCAGCTCAGGTCATGATCTCACAGTTTGTGGGTTCGAGCCTTTTGTCGGGCTCTGTGCTGACAGCTCAGAGCCTGGAGCTTGCTTCAGATTCTGTCTCCCTCTCTGTCCCTCCCTCCCTCATGTTGTGTTTCTCTCTGTCTAAATAATTCTGAAAATAATAAACATTTAAAAAAAATTTTTTTTAAAAAGATCATGACCTGAGCCAAAATCAAGTCAGACACTGAACCAACTGAGCTAATCAGGCACCCCAGCTTAGTCTCATTTTAAATGTTGGTTGATAATAAATATTTTTATTCTGTTGCTAGACAAAAGGACACTTGCCCAGAGGTACAGAATCCTATATTTTCGTTCTATATAAAGTTCTGAGTTAAATGATTGTGACTTATTCAGAGCACAGATTTGGTTTTTTTCCAATTTTTCATATAGCTTGTTAGTAAGAAATACAGACTCTGAAACCAGACTGTATTGCCTGAATTGGAGTCCTGTTCCATTACTTGGTAGCTGTGTCAACTTAGGCAAGGTACTTTACATCTTTCTTATTTTCCATTTCAGTCTGTTGGATTATTAGTGTTAGATGAATTATTACACTGAATGAGAATAGTGCCTGCCATATGATAAACCGTGTTAGCTGCTACATTTGTTTTCATTATAATTGTTATAGCTAATTAAGTGATAAAAGTCTTAACAGTATTTAGAAAATTTATTGACATCCACTTTCAAACATATTTACAAGACTATTCCTTCCAGCTTTTTCTTTTTCTTAATGTCCTAGACTACACTAAATAGTATCCAATTTTTTCTAATGGATTATAGGAACATTTCTAGTCTTAAATCAACTACTCCTAGCCTGCTTTGCTCTTTAGTTTTGATTTAGGAACTGAAAATTCTGTTCTTGTGTAAATTATTTTATATTTGGGTTTCTTCTGTAAAATGATGGCAGTAGTAGCTTCTCATAAGATTAATTGAAAGAAAGAACACATTAAAGCACTTATAACAACTGTGGCTGGAACTTAGGGTTCAAATGTTTCCATTTATAATGATCATGATTGCTACTGTATTCATTATCTCCTAGCTTTATATTGGTTTAAGTAGATAATATCCTTAAGGTAATATGTTATGAGAATATTTAAATTACATATTATATATTTAGTTTTATATAATCTTAATACTACTCAACAAAATGTATATTTACATTCCCTTTAAATATCAAAGGGAATATATTTAAAAATCACTTATTTCTCACACCTGTTTGCAACCTAGTGCTCTCCTTGTCTCAGACTCTTAGTAAAGCTGAAGCTTCAGAAAGGTAGATAGGTATGACAGATCAATTTCAGTTATGTTAAGGATTAAATAATAGGGAAGCACCTTATATTTCTATAGTACTTAACATTGCATAAGGATCTGAAATCTAGAAAGAGAAGTGGTTTCCCCCAGTCATATAATTAGGATATAGTGTATCTAAGAATCTAAGACTTAGGGATAGTATTGTTTCTTTGGGAAAATACAGATTCTAAGTTCTGAACAATTGATTTTCTGAAAATCTTTTGGTTCTCAGCCGTTTGTAATCTGGGCTTCCTCTGTTATTAATCTTGCTGAAATTTTTGTTACTTGAAGTTTTTGTTAACAATTTGAATCATTGAAAACTATGATCATCTTATCTCTTTGTTAACAATAAGTAGAAATTTAAATATTTTTCAGAAGAAAATACAATTTCTATAATTCATATTGTAAAAAGTAAGAACTTGGGAGCATTTTGTCAATATGTAATGATTATTTCACATGTATTTCTTTATTATTCTATTTTTTTTTTTTTTTGAGAAAGAAAGCAGGCATGTGAGCAGGAGGGGGCAAAGAGAGATGGGGAGAGAGAATCCCAAGCAAGCTTCATGCTGTCAGTGAGGAGCCCAACATAGGGCTCTATCCCACAAACCATGAGATTATGACCTGAGCTGAAACCAAGAGTCCAATGCTTAACCAACTCACCTACCCAGGAGCCCCAGTTTTACCTATATTCCTATAACTCAATGTAAGCAACTATAATCCCACTATACTTTCTCTGTTTTGCTTTGAGATTACTTTTATTTTTTCAGTTTTTTTATTTTTAGTTTTTAGTTTACATCCAGGTTAGTTAACATATAGTGCTATAATGATTTCAAGTAGATTCTAGTGTTTTATCCCCTATGTATAACACCCAGCTTTGAGATTACTTTTAATGTGAAATGATAAAATGAGAGGCTTTTTGTTTACATATTTTCTAGTTTGTAGATCAATTTACAGAGCCCAGTGCCATTTGCATATTTTGCATACTATGTTATCTCAAGATTTAAAAGAATCAATGGTCATTCAGTGCTTGGCAGTTTGGTTTGAAAGGGGACCCTGAGTAATACGGTGGACGATGTCCTTAGTGTTCATATTATGTTCCTCGTTTAGTCAAGTTGTTTCATGGTAAACCTCAGCTTTAGCAAAGGATAGAATGCCAAAGTACAGCTTAGTGAAAAAACCATTCCATAAAGGGACAGCAGAGTGATCTAAATATCAGTTTTCTGGTAGTCTTCATGTAAGTATTAGGGAGTTTCAAGTGCTCAGTGGACTCCAAATCTTTTTTTGTATTATGTAAGATTTCTTATCTGGATTTATCATAAAGTTGGGTATGAATGAATTCATAAATATTAAAATTATCTTTTTTTATGAAAATTGAAAAGACTGCTCATTCTGAATACAAGCTGGAATTCCACATTAGAGTCGTAATGTATACTCTTAACACATGAATATTTAGAAGAGGTCAAAGTTCCAAGTTCTTATGGCTAAGATAATTTTGGTCTGGAAAATTTTCAAAGCAGGAATTAGCAGTCCTCCCAGTCACAACACTGGTGCATGGAAATAAGAAGCCAAGAAGAGCATTTCATTCTGAACTGGGTTCTGTTACAGTGTGCTACATGATAAAGCATTGTCCAGTGGATGACGTTGGTTGTATTTGCAGCAATTGTTAAGGTTCTTTTTTCAAGAATAACTTTATTGAGATGTAGGTCACATAGCCTATGACTCACCCATTTAAAGTATACGGTTTGGTCGTTTTTATTTATTTTTATTTTTTTCCTAATGTTTATTTTTATTTTTGAGAGAGGAGACAGAGTATAAGTGGGGGAGGAGTACAGAGGGAGACACAGAATCTAAAGTATTCTGAATACAAGCTGGAATGTAAGATTTCACATTAGTGAAATCCAGGCTCTGAGCTGTCAGTACAGAGTTGGATGTGGGGCTCAAACCCACAAACCGTGAGGTCATCACCAGACCCCAAGTTGGATGCTTAATCAACTGAGCCACCCAGGCACCCCTACAAT